ATGTGGGAAGAATCGAGTAAATCACACCTGGGCTTTGATCTTCCCCGTGTTTGGTGCTCAATTTCACCGTCATCTGACATTGACATACGCCAATCTAACCTGAAAGAAATATACCTGCTAAGTAGTGACCTGAATAAAGCAAGGGATAGATGTGTCGTGAATTATTAATGTTGATATCATTATAAAATCTCGCATGCTTTAATTATAATACACTGAGCGCTTTCAGTGACGTTGATTAGCTTAGAAAGTCATTGTGGCCATATCCCGGTAACATTATTTATATATATAACATCTTTCGCCTTATCTAAAAATATGAATTCATAAAAGCTGTTGAAATTTATTGTATTAACGCATTGCAAATGCAACACATTTATCGTGATTCATGGGTATTAGTATCTATGTGATGTTGAAAACAACGCAATGCTAAGAAAAAATATCATATATTGTGGTGATATGTGAGAATGGTCTTCTGTATATCAGCACGTATTGCTTCTTAAAGTCGGAAACCTGAACCTAAATTAGACATTTAGCGGACAATATTTACCCATCTGAACAGGCATGCTGATTTATTCACTGTACGTGAATTCTCAGGTTTCCTAAATCTAGGGTATCGCGTGAGATGGAATGGAATTGAATTAAACTTAAAAGAGCATTGCAGGTGATATTTCACCGCTTATCACATCGTCAGTCAACTCGACTCACTGGCCATATATATTACGTATCTTTAAGACACAACATCGTATTTACAGCATCATTATTTTCAATTTATTTTTTCATAAATTGTATAAATTGTAGTATAACGTAAGTTGTGAACCGACTGTGTGGTCGGATAAAACAATGTAGTATATGTATTTTGGGATCCATTAAAGACAAGGAGGACTTAAAGTATAAAAATAAACATAAAACAAAACTTAAACACAAAAAGCACACGTTATATTAAGCAGCCATTCCCTCACATTTTTCCATGTCAGCAAAATCATAAGGGCAAAACTTCTACCAGTTGAGATCTTTACTTATAAAATGCACGTCCGATCAGTTTAAGTGGTATGAATGTATTTGTTACACGTGCAATACCGGAAGCTGTATTTCCTGTTGAGGGCAGAGGTCTCACGCTTCTGTGTAGCTTGAGTGTAGCTACATGGTCGTGTAATGCATTTATATTTTAATGAAATGTAGCTTGGAAAAAATGGCCGACGTGTCTAAGCGTTGGTGATATGACACGTGACATTGTGTTAACTTTTGTAACCGACATATCTGTGGCAGTGAACAATATTGCTATCCAGCTATGAGAAAAAAAATCTAAATGGATTTTGGCAAGTAAAAGACAATTTAGAGGCAATCAAAACACGTTTTATTGTCTTTGTTTAACATTTAGCTTCCGTTGAGGGCTAAAAGTTGTCGCTTTGCTCGTTAATATGTTCACAAATCTCCAATGCCTCGTTACTTGCGCTAATTTTACAATTTACCTAAAAAAAGATCAAAAACAGTTTTGGTGCCATAGACCTGGGAAATACTGGTGTTTTTACACAGACGAATGAACCAGGATTGTTACAGTACCCAACCCATCAAATCATTAGCGTTGGGCGATCTAAACACTCACGTAGTCTTTTCCACGTTGTGCCACTTATAAAAGACGAAATGGGCTGTAACCCGTTATTTGTTTAATGCCCAACAATCAAAAGGTCTGGACACCATAGTAATTGAAGACTCGCTCGAGAATAATTTGCAATTTTTCACCATCACTGGGAGTGCGGAGATTGTCTGATATGAAATGCCGATCTCGTTATGACATTTCAGAGTAGGCCTTTTAGAGTCCTCACATTGGGAATTCATCGGCATTACGACATGCCTATTAGAACGACCCGTTCTTCGTTTTTTGTTGATAACCTTGCATTCGTCATTTTTTGATCGAAAACATAAAAATTCAATGAATAAGGAAGCATGTGTGTCACTTACATATGCTTACGACGTATGAAAGTTTTATCCCTGATTAGAAAAAGTCATTTGAAAATATGCTCCAACGCATTTTGTAATTATCTAAATTTTGCATTTCGGCTTCATATATAGAAAAAAATCGTCCATGTCGTACTAATGATAAGGATCGGTCGTTAAACGGATTTCGATTAATATCCCTCTGCATTTTAAAACATATAAACTTGCATCCATTTCCAGTTCGCAGGACAATTATGATGCACACAGTGATTGGGGCAATGATCGATACTTTAACGAGGCTTCTCTGACCCGTCTAATCGCGAAATTGACACGCTAAAACATTTCATTAATACATGCATCACAATCAAACAATATGTAAATGAATCCTATATATCCGTATAAATGCTTGTAATTGATCCAAGTGCTGATAACAGTTTGATGCCTCCACCCCTGATTTCCCCATTACTGATTTTAAATAATACATAAACCAGCGTTTCAGAACTAGCGAGGGATACTCGTGATCTGGGCCCGACATCGAGCCACTATTACATGCACTGCTATGAAGGCGATTGATTTCGAAATTGATTGCAATGTACATGCTGAAATGTGCAACTTGTTTTCCATATACACGTGCTTCTAATCACTTTGCCTCCCTGTGGGTCGTGCTGCTGTTTTAGCACATTTTGCCAGAATTTATTGCCTCTGGGTGAAACAAATATGAAATAATAATCACCAAACCGGACAATATCGTTGACCCCTGTAGAGATGAAAGAATAATAATGCATTAACGGTTCTGAAATCGGCATAAAGTGAAATCAGGAACGCTATGTTTATTGCATGTACATTATGAAATGTATTATGCTATGGCAGGGGTTCCCACCCTACTAGCCACCTGGGCTAGACTCTTTGGTAATGTAATTAAACAAGGTCATGCGTTGAACGTTCACACGTTCAAAGGAGGTACATTTTATATTACTTGAAACTGATCATAGCAATTAATATCAGGTATTAATCATTAACAGGATCATAATCGACGTCCATTTAGTAGATTACTGCTCCGCGGTTCATTGGTGCGAGGTATTAGAGGTGTACACCAAAACACCGACTACACCCCTGATAATTTTTTGTTGATGCAAAACCAGCCATGATGTTTAATTCTAATAATGAAACAATCGTACATGATCACTATCATGTGGATTAGGGCTCGTACATTTAAGTGTAGACTTTGCAATAATGTTTTGAAGGGATAATGGTTATATTAACACTCAATATATAATATTAATACGTACTGCAACTACTAAAGAATCTGTTGATTGGCAGTTGGTGAGCATATTACAAAACGTACAACTTTATGGATAACAGCTTCTGGTGTCTTGCAGGTGTCGATGTAGGTTCTTACACCCTTACGTTCAACAGTTCCGGCTTGCTAAGGGTGTAACAATATACATTTACAATGTACATGTATTCATAAAGTCGTTCGTTTACTTAAAAAAAACCCCTTTCTCTTATCTATGACCATTCGCGAGATGTACCGTACGTTTCGATAGGTCTCGACAAAGCAGGGGCCTACTACCTTTGTAACGAGACCTTACGAAACATATATCAAATTTCATTCCCCGCGTGTAACCGGGCAAAAAAAAGATCATTTTTCAATCCTCTTTCCCAGGGGTGAACCTGATCACATATTTCATTGGGAGATTTGTCAACGAAACCTGTTTTCTACAACAAAGGCTACAGCAACGTTCCAGCAGTCTTACTTTTGTCAGCATATGTCATAAACGAGGAAACAAGATTAATTATGAGCTTATATGGGGCCCATTTGTCATCACTCCCGGTCGGCGGGTGCTTACTGCGTCGCTTGACAAGTCTCGGTTACAGCCCAGATTATCTCCCTTGATGACGGCGTTTAACAAGGCACCATGCAGAGAACATCACTTTGTGTGTCTGTTAGAGCCAAATACTATGACGTATATCAGTCGAGCAGTTAATAATAACCTTATGCATCCCAATCGCAGTGTATCTTTCACTAATCACCGCCGGTCATAGCCTTAGTTTAGGATACCAAATACATAAATTTCCTTTAACATTTCATACATTGTTTTTCAAATTGACGCTATTGTTTAATGAGAATTGACCTCTTTCTGGTTATTTCTTTTCTAGTTTGTCACAAGGTATTTTTATTACAAAAATGAAATTACGAGGAGAGTTAAAGCTACATAAATACGTCCAGCATCATTGTTAACGATATATTCTTTGTTACTTCACATACAAACAGAAGTATTTTACTGAGCCATGTTTATTCGAATAGTTTTTTAAATAATAGGTATAATAATAATATAAATGAATTCATGTCCAAGTGAATCAGCATCCGGGACGATAAACGTATCACTGCATGCTTATGCATGGCAATATGTTGTTTTAAAAAAACACACCAAAACAACCCCATTCTTTTAGTACAACATTAATATATATATATATATAAAACACAAATCACGTGAACTGTGTTTGAATGATTACCATTATCGTCATAGCAATTACCGAGTTCATTCTAAAAATAAATGTTTGCCTGTTGATCGAAATATTGTCAAAGGTAACTGGACTGAAAAAATTAATGATGTGTATCTTGAATTGCCCCACAACGTTAACGTTCTGTTGGCCACGGTGAAATTAAAGGGCATGCATGTATTACAATCAATGTGGGGAAGAGAATTTAATTTTATTACCGGTCATATTAGTATCAGATCATGATATAAAATGTATTATTTGGATTGTTAAGAATCTAAGCCATCTTATACATGGCTAAACATCCAGGACATCTTTACAAATATGATGACTGCAAATAAACGGTTTCCGGTTTCATGGCATGAACACATAGGATAGTGCTCACTGCTCTTTTATATCATGTATTCACTATATATTTTCAAATTTAAAAGAGTTTTAATCTGTAAAATGCATTCATAATGAAATTGGTAGTTTGTAAGGAATGATGTTTTTTCACAAATTATATTCACGTCACAGCAATGTCAGTTATGTATTGATGTAACATATGGATTGTTTATATTTTTCAGAAACAAAGGGAAGAAAAAAGCGGAAGCCATACACTCGCTATCAGACGATGGTTTTGGAAAATGAATTTTTAAACAGCTCATATATAACACGGCAAAAGCGATGGGAAATTTCTTGCAAGTTACAGTTATCTGAAAGACAAGTTAAAGTTTGGTTTCAAAATCGACGAATGAAACGAAAGAAATTAAACGAAAGAAATAAAGCACGTGTACGAGAAGATCAAGAAAACAAAGACACTCTCCAAACACATTCAGCTCAGGGGGATACACTATCTGCGCAGGCGTAGGGATAACAAACACTTCCGGATGAGCTATTCTATAGGAGCGAACACAGAGCTCCATTTGCCAGGGGAGTTCAGTCATTGATCGACTGAATTATCTCCCTTTGCTTGGCAACACGGGTGTTTATCATGTTGTTCTGTGACATAACGGATGTACATTGATGCCGCTGTGCATGCCGGGAAGCGATGAAAGCCACAAGGTCGAACAGATGTCCAAGACCACAGCATAAGTACTTACAGACATTCTGTGTTACGACAACGTGGCAACCGGAAACAGAACGGCACCGGCGCAGAACCAATGCGTGCTGGTATTAGTAACATAATACGAAACTGTGGTGAATGGCTCAGTTCATCTTTATTATATGAGTAGCCCTAACTTGTGAATGTCCCTAATGAGACAAGAAGGTGTAGATATTAGTTGTGAAAGAATTAATTTTCTTCAAGAAACTCAACGGATATTGACATTATATGGTAATGAAAAGTGGACGTATTGAATGTGCGCGAGATCGACGTGTGTGATCTCTTCTGTTGACATTCTCCAGTGAAAACAAACTATAGTCCACATAGCCAATAACACAACGCCTCAAAGGTCACGTGGTCTATTTTTGAGGCAAAAAACGAACATTTCCCCTAAATATTAGGTTTGGTCAGAGTGTAGAAACTGTCAAAGTATCATAAACTGCATTTTACGTCATCTCATTCTCACTGCATACCACTTTACGGCAGTTTCCGAGACTGAGGACGGATTGTCGTAAATATCATGCCGGTTTACGACAGGCTAATTGTTATTGTAACATTACTCTCCCTGTCTTTTCTATGTGTTATGATTGTATAAGTGCGTGAGATTATCCTTGTTTTCATCACAGTTTTACCAAGACAACACTCTCATTTATTTCCATTGATGTGTTTCTGAGGCGGTAAGACATCTAATAAGACTGTATAAATAACGTCTTCTCAAAGAGCTGTCTCGGTAATGTAAAAGGTTTCATTTTATTCCACACATATCATGTTTCCAATGTCTCAGATTAATTTCATTGGTCAGTTCAACAATTTTTGTATACTCGTTTAGCGGAAACTACTTAAACACTGTTTCCATTTTTTGGACAAACTTTTCTTTAAATGATGAATTTCATTTAATTTTCAGACAATATTTAAATCATCACCCTCTCAAGAGCATTTGGAAATCATGTAATCGCAACGTCGATGTAGTTATTTTAAATAACCATTGGTATTATGTTCTTAAACTACCATGCTCTTTTAATGAGTTATTATTTATTAAGTTTCAAACACAAAGTTCGTCATTCCTGTTCGTGCGGCTGCTTTATGTAAGAACACAAAGAAAGAAGCAGGTCAAATTGGATTCTGATTAACTCACGTTGGTTGTTATTCTTTTCTAACATCTGTATAGCTCACTCAGGTAAAAACAAATAATTTGTATCCTTTATAAGTTTCAGGTATTTTGCAAATATCTAAGTGCTGAACGATAGTGCTAATCTTCGGTGTTCGAATAAATGTAACATAACATTTTCATTTTATATGAGTCTTGAAAAAATGATATCCTTCATGTTCTAAAGTGTCTAAATGAAATTAAAATTACAAGCCTAGTGCCACTTAGTAGAATGTCATAGTAAAATAAACATTTTACTTTCGTTGGTGAATGTTTGTTAATAATACTGTTGCTGCACTTCCCGAAACTTGAAAAAAGGTGATTGTGTTACAGTATGGTACGAATTCTTTTCCGTAGCGACATTTTGTCTCAGAAAACACTAGTTTCACAAAGAGCAGTCGACGTACATATTGAGTTGATAGGGGTATCATGACGGCAATGATGGTTTTATTTACTTAGTCTTTGTCAGTTCACGTAACTTAAGTTTATCAAGTTGTTTTGTCTGTCTTAAAATGTTTCGCCTATTATTGTCTTCTTGAACGTAGTACCTTACGTTACGTCATAAGTGCGCCTCACGACATCAAGACTACATCATTATTACGTCATTATTACGTCATAACATGTGACCTCGCCAAGTTTAAAATGAGGAAAAATAAATGTGTTGTTGTATTTGCTTATTCTGTTTTTATTTTTATTATTTATTTTGTTTATTAAATTTTATTGTTGGTTTCATCAAGGCGGAAAACGTCTCTTTGGGATTGCTTCAAACGCTAACTTGCCACGCCGTGATGCAACTGAAATACTGTTGAAACATAAAGCGGCGTTGAAGGTGAGGTGAGGTGAATGGGGTTTAACGTCGCGTTCAAGATTATTGCACTTATATAGCGACGTGCATGTACGTGTGTGTGTGTGGCTGCTTGTACTAGTCCGGACTGATGTCGATTTATAGTGCTAGCTCACTGAGATACCATGCCGCAGTTTAACATGAATACCCCACTTCAGGATACTGACTCCGAGCCGACCAGTCCTTGTGTTAGCCCCTTAATGCCGAACGCCACACAGGGTAACAACAAGTACCATCTTTTAACGTCTTTTGGTATGACGCGGCCGGGGATCGAACCCCGGACCTTCCGCTCTCCGGGCGGACGCTCTACCACTAGACCACGGAGGCGGTCGCAAGCGGCGTTGAGAGAACCACGAACTCTCATTTCACAACAACCAGGAAGATTACACTATAAAACGTCACACCAACGAAATTGCGTTAGCGCAAAACATCACAGTTCAATCCAAGCAGGGATAATATTTGAAATGTTTTCCTGGCATTGGTGGCCAATTGGTCAAGAAGCTGTAATGTCTTGTCCAGGGTTGCGACCCTTAGCAATGATGAGATCCACAGCAATGAGTTTGAATGTGATGCTCGTCCTTTAACCGAGGTCATAGAGGTTTTCAACCTGCTTTCCTTTTCTGTGCAGAGTTGCGTCACTTAGACACCTAATGTCTTGTGTTCGAATCTCGGTTAGCTCTGATTATGCTTATGTTTATGTAAAATATACCCAATATTCAATAGGTTTCACCGAAGTTATGAATTTTCGGAATTCTCTACCACGTTAAACTGAATCGACGGATAAACGTGAAATACCAATGCAACCGTTATCAGAGTGGCCAAATGTGACTGATTCTGATCGTCATAGGTATTTCCTATGAAGCGGAATAGAATGGAACAAAACAAATTAGAAGAAAACAAACCTTCGACCTCTCGCTCGACAGCGATATTTTAGGTAAGTTGCACTTTTTTCTTGAATTTATTTTTCAAAACTTCGAAATAATGGATATAGTTACGACCGAAACATATAACGTCTGGCCAAGTTCATTGTTTGCAATACAGCTGAAGCATCCTCAAAATAGAATGAATGATTGGGAATCGAACTTCCCATGCAAAGATCTACTTACAATATCTAATTCATGGCATTGCCGTGAGATTCCATCGGGGAAAAAAAGAAGGAAATAGCTTGCAATGCACTAACACTTGCACATTTATTATTTCTCAGAATGTGGCATATTTTACCGGGTATATCTAGAGGCACACCGTCTAAACTGAAGTATAAATGAAATGTAGTGTGTTCTTGTTCGAAGGTATAGGAATGTTTACACAATTGGTTTGATGTCAAAGTAACACCCAATTCGACGACCTACATGGTCGTCATAAATTTTGAACTAAAACGATTTGGCTATTTCGAATTTGTTAATGAATACGATATTTTGTTAATGATGAGTCTTTTAATAGTTTAAAGTATGTGATCTCCTGTGCGAACACAATCAAAGTTTAATTGACCAGGTGCTAGTAGACATATAAATATTAAAATTATGTTATGAAATACAACCAGATGACGTGTATATGTAACCATGACTATACATTATTGGTCAAATATGTATATTTCATCTTCTGGTGCAAACATGAATAATATTTTATTTGATAAATGTGATTTTACAAAGTTCATTTTATTGCCTATCCCTATATCGAACTTAACGAGTCTCATCACATACCGGTACGTATCGTAGACTTCGGTCAAATGATGTTCCTCTTTGCTCTGAGGTAGAGTGGACGAGCCAGTTTCCCGATATATCCATCCGTATTTCAATCATAAACGGTGTATAAAATAGGTTTCACACACATTACTAAGACTTTTCCGAAGCGCGTCTAAGTTATACCAATGCCTTAAACATATCGAAGACATGAGGACTTCTCGCGGTCTTGGAACTACTTTGTACGCACTTCGACCCACTCGAAAATGTTATTATCCTGAAAGTTCATGAAGAAAGCCATTTCTTGGACTTTGGCGGTTGCAGGTTCAGTAGAAGGTTCAACGGATTGGTGACCTTGACCTTCTCGTAGGGCATGATTGGTCCGTTAAAATCTGGTAAAATGATAGACTTAAGCAGGGTGTGAGCGACAGTATGTATTAAATTCCTCTCCCCCCCCCCCCCCTTCTCTCTCTCTCTCTTTCTCTCTCTCTCTCTCTCTCTCTCTCTCATACACACCCACCCACAACGTTAAGGGTTAACTATCCTCACCTTCCTATAACGCCGTTACAGAAGTGAACAAACCATTGGAATTGTACCAAAACAGCAAACTACAGTCCCCCCCTAAAACAAACCCAAACTCCGCCCCCCCCAAAAAAAACCAAACCAACAAAACAACAAAAACAAACAAACAAAAAACAAAACAAAACAAAACACACACACACACACACACGCACGCACGCACGCACGCACGCACGCACGCACGCACGCACGCACACACACACACACACACTTTCCAACTTAACTATTAAGTAGTCTTCCTCAAATTGAAGGTCTGATCAAATAAGCGTTAAGCCCAACCCATCAAGACTATCAACGCCAACGTTAACATATGGCATCTGAACTAAGTAAACCATTCCATATTCATATTGTTTGCACGTAACATCATATACATATATCATCGTCTGAAGTAATGTACATAGGGTTTAACACGCATGACGCAAGCAATGAAACGTTTCATGTTTACCGTATATTTTGTATGAATTTACCATAACAGGACACATGTGTACACATAAGTGTCTTATTTACTACTTATGGTATGATAAATAGATCATTCACACGCCATTTAAAGCGTTGTCTTTATTGTCTTGAACGATGTATGTTTCTCACAAATGTAAGAAATATGTCATGACAATGAGTACGTGACCCCGATGGTATGTTACCTGGTAAAGATACTGGTGGGGACGAATGGATTGAGGGCAAAGACTTGGCTACCCACTGTGCAGAGCAGTGACCCGCTGATCACTGTTCGAATCCTAGAATCCTATGGTCTGTCATCACCATATCGTTATGGTGGGTTTCACGAAAGTGATAAAAGTCTAAGACCTTCGTCAGTAAGGGCTCATTTACTCGCTCGCTCGCTCGCCCGCCCGTCTACCCACCCTACCTCCCTCCCTCCCTCCCTCCCACAGAAGGAACCCACTCACTCACTCACTCACTCACTCACACAAGATCCGGGGTAGAAAAGATCTTCAGCAACCCATGCTTGCCGTAAAAGGCGACTATGCTTGTCGTAAAAGGCGACTAACGGGATCGGGTGGTCAGGCTCGCTGACTTGGTTGATGCATGTCATCGATCCCAATTGCGTGGATCGATGCTCATGATATTAATCACTGGATTGTCTGGCCCATACTCGATTATTTACAGACCGCAGACTCGCTCACTCACTCACTCACTCACTTCCTGAAGCTTGTCAGTTTTGTATCACACTTTAAATGACACCTCACTCACTCACTCACTCACATATTATATTATTACACATCAGGATATTTCCAGTATTAATGTGGTTGGAACTGTGTCCATTAGACATTGTCACGTGGACAAACTAATACAAAGTAAACTTCATTTCATTTCATGAGGACAACTTACACAATCTATAGCAACGTTATACGCCCCAATATTGCCCACTTGTTATAGTAATAATATACCGTATTCGACGTAATAAGCGCCCAGGGCGCTCTCAAAATTAGAAATAGGGGGCTCTTATTAGAATATTCAGATGGAAATACCAGTATGGGATCTACATGTGTGTCACAAATCTTGTTTTCTTGTATTAAGGCCTTACGCAGCAATAGTCCATCTAAATGACCACAGCCAACATATAATCGCGTCTGGACCAGATAATCCAGTGATTAAATTCCACGCCACCAAGGCATGATGACACGCAACCAACACAGTTACCGAGCATGACCACCCTCGTACGACAAGCATAGGTCGCCGAGGACAAATTTTAACTCGGAATTCCCATAGGGGATCAATTATTTGAATAACACATGTAAGGTTTTTGGTTTTGGTTTGGTTTGTTGTTTAACGCCGCACTCAGCAATATTCCAGCTATATTACGTCGGTCTGTAAATAATCGAATCTGGACCAGACAATCTTGTTATTAATGTCCTGAGCATCGATCCACACAACTGGAATCGATGACATGCATCAACCAAAGGTGCGAGCCTGACCACCCGATCCCGTACGTCTCTCACGACAAGCATAGTCGCCTTTTACGGCAAGCATGGGTTGCTGAAGACCTTTTCTACCCCGGATTTTCACGGGTTACACATGAAAGGAGACGTCAAGCAATTTAGTTGCACTTTCTAAAAAGCAAATAATGGTTAAATGCTTTGCTTTATGCATCTGGGTGTTAATGACCTTATATCACCCTCACCGTAAAAAAAGCAACAACTCAAAATAAATATAGACGGTCGACGTTTTACACATATTTACTGTGGACGGAGAAAGATACAGACATGTTTATATTTATTACACAAATCATAACTCGTTCAGTATTGTTATGAACAATAGCATTTCTTTAAAGACACAAATGATCAGTTTTGCAAAAACAAATTGTACAGATAATTGCACAGATAATATCTATAGCCTTTATAAAGTTAACATGACATGCAGTACAGATACGAGTCTGCACATGTATACCCACAGAGGCAGGCGAGAACATTACGGAACGAAAAGTTCAACATGCCAGTGTTAAATCTTCGTGTGTATAATATTATACTTACTGATACCATTCGCAGGATGCCAATAACAGAAGGTTATCTATCATTATAACATACTTTATACTTTGTGAAGGCATCAGT